GGAAAGAGCAAAAGTATTATCTATTTATCTTTGTCTTGGTTTAAACTTCCATATAATTCTCTTAATAAGGCACTGAATGCAAGGAGGAAATGCAGAGTCGATTCCAAGACAAAAACTCTAATAAATATCACATTCAAGAGAGGGTAGTTGTGTAATAAATTAATGTGGTGCTGGTGCACACTCATATAAATCCAAAGGAAAAGCTTAGGCTTGCTAAGGCAACAGAATAGCCCCCCCAAAGCAACTCTGGGCCCATCACTGATTGGCCAAACAAGTAGCTTTTGATTAGAAAAGCAGTATTATTTGCTACAAGTGTTGTAAAGCTGCCAAGGTTGAAAAAGCAGCAATACATGGCGATGGCGTGTGGTAGGAGTCTAAGCCGCCTCTCTAGTGTCCCATGAGCTATGGCCATTTGGTGGAAAACCCCTTTCCTTGGTTTTCTTCATTTGGAGGCTCAAAGAGTCAAGTCTGGAAACTTTGCCGACAGCTTACCACATTTGCTGTATTGGGTGATACACATGTTGTGAACTCAATCCAAATGTGTTCCACTTGTTTCACACTTCAGAGGCCACCTGGCAGTCTGTCTCATCATGATCAGTGCTACTCAGTACTCACATTTTGATGAATTATTATATTAGTTTAAAATGATCTTTGTAAAGTGGGATCCACTTATATTTTTATTGACAGTTGGAGGGCCCACTTCAAAATGACACAATGTTCTAGATGGGTAGGAATTGGGTAGTATACATCATGGTTTTTAAAAACGAACCCGTCAGGGGTCCGGTTAGCGGTTCTAACGGTCTGACTATTTGATCCGAACGGCTAGTTAGTTTTGACAAAAAAATAAAACAATTTTAAAATTTTAAAAACGATCAAAATCGTTCAAACAGTTTGAATGGTTCGTACGATTAATCAGCCAGTTCAGTGATTTACTGACCAAAATCAACGATTTTAAAGAAAAAATGGTTTGAGAGAGAAATGAAACCTATCGGATGACCAATTCTCGATTTTTCCGGTCCAACCGTCCAATCCTATCCGATTTTAAAAACAGTGATATTCATGGACTGGTACATTTGCAAAGGCATTCAAAAACTCAAATCTGTATACCTAGCATTGCTCTTTGTATGGACAATCTCCTCATTTGGATTTTGGATTTGGACCCTTCACCCTTCACCCATCCAATGGTATATACATTATCCTCTTGAGGCAAATTATAAGTGATGGCCGACGAATCCTAACTAAGGACTATTTTAGTTAATACATGTGCTGTGGGAGAAGGCCCATGTGATAAAAATTTTTAATAACCAAACTGTTCTAATATATTGTCTTTTCCCAAAGTATATTAACGTAAAAGTTCTGGGCCAAATGATAACGGATAGATTTAATTGCATAGAAATCATCATTGATCCAGGCGGTTGAACTATTTAACCTAAAAACTAGACAACTATACAGGTCTATTTTATACTTGGTCTAGAACTTTCCAAAACAAAATCTTGACTTGATCACCAGATCATTGATTCGATTAGTCAAATCGCTTTTGATTTTCAAAGTCATTGACTCGAACAGTCAGACTATCCATCTCAAAAATCGATTAGGAGATCAGTTCTATTTCTACCCGAAACTGTTCTTTTGCAAAAAAAACCGTTTAATTGATTAGTAACCTGTTGTGATTCAGGTGGTTGAATCGTCAACGATTTAATCCAAACAACGATTTTTGGGTATTTTTTTATTTTAATTATTTTTTAAATTGTTATGGGCCAATTTGTTCAAATAGGAAGATTGATCAAATCTGTTCGGGTTATGGTTGAACTGGTTCCGGATGCCACGTAATCTCTCTATTTTCTCGGCCACATCAGCACTACATCACCTCCATGGCCTCACCTTATCCTTTCATCCACGATGGCACCACGTTATGAGGATAAATACAACCAAGACAGGAGAGTGAATGGGGACAATTCCACTAGGGATTAGGTCTTATTTCGAAGACCTCGACGATTAACCTCATCCCAACAACCCTAGAAGCCTTATGTGACCAAGGCATGGATCTTCAGCTATAAAATGTATCTCCCGCTTAAAATAAAGGATCCAACTCTTAACTCCTATACCGTTACTCTGCTTAGACTAGCACTGCTCTAATTGCTTGACCTGATCACCTACCTGCTTTCTACTAACTTATTAACTTAAGTGTCGGAGTGTCTAACCGAGGATAATTTCTCGGGCCTCTAACTTCTTTCTTGATTCCATATCTCATTGCACGGCTCCATCCTTCCACCTCGACTCCATCCAACTGGCAAAGATTATCTGATTGCGACCTTGGTTCTTGCACCACCTAGGATCGAGCAACATCAAAATCGTTGACCCAAAAACTAATGGCCAAAGTAATTTCGCCTTTTGAGCTGATTTTCAAAATTTTGCTTAATTGGCTTATTGAGATTGTACTTAATTAACTTAGTTTCTTTAACTAATTTAATTTACTTATTCAATAGCTTAATTTATATAGTTGGTTAATTTATTTAATTACTTTAATTAGTGTAATTTATTTAATTTACTTAATTAAATTCATACCATCATAGATCTTGAAGTAATTTACTTAATTAACATTATTAATATGGTCTTTTTCAAAGTTCAGAGTCAAAATTGGCTTTTTCAAATTTGAATAGTGTCACATAAGAATATTTTTATTATTTTATTCATTTGTCTAACCGGTCTGCTAATGGCATTTGCTTTTACCTAAGTGACCTTTCCATCATAATTCGAAGGCGAAAATGAATCTTTTAATTTTTTAAGTCTAAAATGTTTTTTTTTTTTGTGCAAAATTCAGTGATGGTCAAAATCCAAAAATTCTTTTAAAAAATATAAAGTATTTTTAATCCTCAATAACATCAATTATCAACAACAAGCTTCACTTTTTTTATGTTATTTATACTTTTCCACATAAAAAAATAAAAATGTAAAACAAGCAAAACAACTGCAAATCTTGCTTTTTATACGTTTGAAAAAGCATGAAAAGTCTAACAACACCTTCCCCGGTCAAGTTATAGGCGCTCTTTCTGCGTTTGTTTGGCATCAATGCTGTTGTTCCAAAAAACGGTGACACATTAGTATCATATTAGAAAAATCGATGCTTCAGAAAATGTCAATATATTTGGAATTGTTTTTCCATAAAACAATGATGCTCTAAGTCATGTCTTAAAAATCGAGAAGGTGTGGTTTGGAGCAATGCTGAATTCGATATTTTCTTATATTAGAGCTCGTTGTTGTCAATGAGGACATGATGTGGCAGTGACGTGGACTTATGTTGAAAACAGATATGGAGCACTAGTACCAAACAGAAGGTGTTACTGATGCTCTAGGAAACGTTATATCTGGCAGCAACATTTCCAAACAAAAAAAAACACCATTTTCTTAAAAAATGGTGCTTCCAACCCATACATACTACAGCATCGATGCTAAACATATAGTATGCATTTGGTTCCGTTTGCGTTTTTTTCATTCAACAATTGTACTTTATTTGCTTGTAAAACTGAGAAAGGTAATAACTACAATCGTTTATAACAATTACGCATCACATCAACATAACAGTGAAAAAAACGCCTAACCATTTGAGGAACCTTTAAAAAATAACTTCTCTAAACGGTAGGTGTGCATAGAAACCAAAATCACCTTTTGCTATTTTTGATACGTAGAAATGAACATGAGAGAAAAACTATTGAAGTGGCACCTATGTGGTAGCTTTTATTGAATAAGTGCCCATAGAACCAAACACCCTCATACTCTATCTTCCGTTTCCTTAATACTTACCCACATGATGACCTTGAAAGCCTTAAAACCAACACAAAATCGGATATTTTGCAAACCATCCATTTTATCATAATAATACTAAATTTGGAGGGTATTTCGGTCAATATATAAGGAATGAATAGATTTTCTTTCAGCCACCGAAAAGCAAGGTTCAAAATATCAATACATCGGTAGGGACGTATTGGGCGAATCGATACTGTTTTTTGTTGCTTTTTTTTTTATTTTTTTTGCAATCGGTTCAGGGGAGTCGATCTAGGTTTCCTCTACTCCCTAAACCGGTCAGACCCCCAATACACCCACTGTAGGAGCGTATCAAAGGGATTTCAGAATGATACGTATCGACCAATACATGTCGATACTTTGAACCTTGCCGAAAAGGAATGTAACAAGCGCGTTATTTTTTGAATAAATAATTAAACTAAAAAGTTATAAATTGCTTAAACCTCCCTAAAATATTTTATTGTTGCTGAAACCTCTATTTAATCATTGCAATTATCTTCCTAAACTTTCTAGTGTAATCTTCTAAAAATCATTAAAATGTCTAAGATATCTAAACAATTACTATGGAGGCTGATTTTTACGTAAAACAAAAAATAAAACAAATTTTATAAAAAAATCATTGATGTCAAAAGGATATGATATCAAAAGAGGTTTTGCCAATCAAAACCCACTCATGAATTTTGATAAATAAAATCTGATTGGTTATCAAATTTATGATATTAGTTAATTAGTCATAAAATTTTCAGACATTATGTCGTTTTGGCATATGAAGGATAAATTTGAAAAAAAATAATATTAGAAAATAAATATTTGAAAAATAAAATATTTTTAACAAAAGTAACAATATAGATAATTTTATCAAAAGTAACATTTTTCACTCTTTTCAGAAGAATTCCATCGTGGTATACTCACCATTATATCAGAAAATAGGATTAGTATTACAACTATTAAGCGGGGAGGTTCAGCAACAAACAGAAACTTCGCGAAAGGTTTCAGCAATTTACCAAATAAAAATAATAAAATATGCTCCCCAATTCGGAAAGGGCCAAGGGAGAATTCCTACCTGGCTACCTTCATGACTTTCATCATGGCAAGAACGTAATTAAAATCAAAACCGAGGGGCTACAAAAATATTTTACTTGCGGAAACCGGAGATTTTCAGATTGGATTACAATTTACAATATATAAACAGTCGAAACGTTCGTTTGAAAACCGCCACTTCGCGTCCATTCGTCTCGATGTCTACCTCAAATTTTCTTACTGTTATGTCTATCCGATCGATCGAAACTGGGCTTTGATCATCCTTTTGAGAAGAAACTTCGAAACCCATCTCTAGTTTTTGCGTAAGAAGAGGAGACTTGTGTTTTCTGGGTGTTTGTTTTGATTTATGAGTAGAGAGGTTTGTTGCTTTAAATAAAACTTTATTGTTCTTGCTTTTTGGGATTTTGATTGTGAAAAATGGACGATTGGAAAAGGCGCCAAGCTGATTATCATCATCACGAGGTTCCGAGGACACCCCCAAAATCACAGAACAGAAAACCACCATCTGGTACGTTCTGTTTCCTGCCAGGTGTGCTTTATTAGCCTGTTATGCCGTTTAACGGTCGGCTAAAATTGTTGATAGATGTGTTCCTATTGATGGGTTTTTGATTGAGAGTGCTAAGCCTTTAGTGTTGAGAGATGGGTTGTTAATTTTCTTTTTGTTTCTTTGTTTGTAATGGATTAGCTTCCTTCAACATTTTTTTTTGTTGAGTGAAGTTATTGTTTTAGAACTCTATCTTGATCCTAGTAACAGATTTGATAGTTCGAAGATGTTATCTGAAGGAGTTTTCTGTTTGAAAATTTGAATTTTTGTTCAAGAATTTGAGAAACAGAGGTCTTATGATTTATATTGCTAGGGTTTTGAATGTTCTTTTGGTTTTTCCGAAAGAAAGAATGGATTTATTTGTTTTTCCTTTGGGCTTCTGCTTATGGTGCTTTCATTCTTTTTTTCTCCTTCCATCTTCGTTGGGTTCCTTTCTGTTTAAGGAATCTTTGTTTTTGTTTATTTTTGATCGAGGTGGGGTGCGGTTTGTATAAGCAAATAAGTTTTTTTGAAATTTCTTAATTATGTACAAAATGAAGAAAAGAAGATCTGCCTCCATTTGCTGTTTCTTACATGGAGGTGAGCTTTAGGGACTAAGGACATAATTTGCATGGCCTCTGTTAAGTGGTCTTACTTATTTTCTTGCTTCTTTTTGAATTGTAATGCTTTTTATGGGCTGAGAAATATTTTTAGTTTGGCATATTTTGGGTGTTTAGTTTATCTTCTAAATTTCTGAATTGCAGAGATGGTTCCTCTTGTTTAAAGAAAACTTCGTTTTATGATTGTATTCAAAATTTGAGTTGTAAGGTTCTCTTAAATTACTTGTTTTCCGTAATGATGACTGTTTAGTCATGTTATTGTTTCTGGTGTCATGAAATCAGGGTTTTGGCAGCCCACTGTGCCTTCATGGGAGAAGAAGTTTTGCAGTTCTGTGGGTGCAGTTCCATGGAGAAGGCTTTTGGAGGCAAAGAAGGTAATGTCCTTCTATGAGAATGTGGTTCAGTGGAATGACTCGGCTGGCGAAGAGGCATTCAACAATGCAAAAAACCGTTTTTGGGCAAAGATCAATGGACTCCCCTGTGACATTTCTCTGCCTGACCCAGATATCTACATTGACGAAATTGATTGGAATTCTGACATTGATCCTGAGCTGATACTGGACCTTGATCGAGAACCCGTTGCTACTGATGAGGGGGAAAAGAATGGGAAAGCTGGTAGTCTTGGTGATTCTCTATTATGGTTGAATCGGCCAGTCCCATGCACTGGGTGGGATGATTTAGAGGAGGATCCTGTGAGAATGGCCAAAAATTTGTCATCTGATCCAGTTTTGGGAGATTGTGATCAGGAGGCTAATATTGATCACAATCCTGGGGAATCTGGCCACAATCCTCGCGGTCAAAATGCTAGCTTTGATCATAATCCTTGGGAATCTGGTAACAATCTTCAGGCAAATGAGGGTAGTCAGGATAAAACATGGGAAAACCATGGAGGTAATTCATGGAGTTTGGACCCGTGGGACAACAATGCTAATGAGTTAGAGAACTGCGAAACTAGACAAATAAATGGAGGTTGGGGGGTATGGAACAGGAATTGCAGGAAGAGAGAAAGTGCTGCTCAGTACATGTCAAGGTACAAGACCTCAAGATTCCATAGAAATGACTACCAAACAGATCGATGGTGGAAGAATGGCAGCAGAGGAAGGAGGAGGATGAATTCTGTTTATGATCGCCCTCTGATTGATAAGAAGCCTTTGGTTCCAAGTCGGTGGAATTCAGTCCATTATTGTGGACCATTTAGTCATCATGGATCTGGTGATGCAGGCAATAATTGGGGCTGGGAAAAGCCCCCAGTTTCTTAAGCATTAAAGCTAGTTTTAAAGAGACTCTCTGTCTCTCTCTCTCAAGCTCCATAATAGTTGGAAGACTTGGTACCAGCCGGGCAGAGTCCTATAGAATCTGTGATGTTGTTTTTTGTCCTTTGCTTCTGAATAGTTGCCTCGTCTGAGATTTTCAACTGCGGGAGTTCTTTTCAAGTGTATGTAGCAGGTATATATTGTTCCATGTTGTGATTTTGATAGTGAAATGCTTGGTTGTCACAGACAACAAATCTGTAGTCTGTCTTGTAAATTGCTTTCTGACCTTTTCTCCCTGAAACTTGCAATTATGCAAGGGAAAAATCAATCAATCAGCTCTAAAAGAGCTTCTTCAGAAATCAGAATCCTGACCGCCAGGTATCTTTGTTGATTTGCATGCATGTTTGCTTGTTTTATGGTTTATGTGGGAGTTTCAACCTGTGGGGAAGATTCCCTCAAGTGATATTTACTGAGATATTTCCTTTCCAGACTGAATTTGTGGACTGAGAGTTGACAGACAATGAGAACAGTATCTTATCCATATCCACAAGAAAGAAAAAGGGAAGAAACATGAACATGGTGCCGAATCCATCCATTTCCTTTTGGTGTTATTTCAGTTTCATGTGAAATTGTGTTTTATTAAATGGGCATCGTACTTGCTGGAAAGTGAATTACACGCAGTTCATGTACTAGGAGGCTGTTGGGTGTTGAGGGTGGCTGTCGGTTGGGCCTGGATTTATCCAATCTTTACAACTTGCTTACGGCTTTGCTTGCATTGGGGCCCCATTGGCCGTAGTTGGCTGGGCCCACTTTTATAAATTGACAAGAATCTTAGTCCACATGCTTGGGTGACTCACCAACTCAAGCCCAACCCAGAGAGTTCTAAAACGGGGAAAATTATCAGAGTTTATAGCACCAAATAACATTTGTAAAAACCGGACTCTGTAAAGCCCGTTTTTGTTGTTGAGTTTTGGACTCGATAGTCCAAAACTACCTGTACTGATCCACAAGGACCACGAAAATGGAACCAAATTAAAATGAATGTAGAGTACTTAATTGTCATTGAACAATTGTACTTTGTCATGAGATGAGATGATTATGATCTGACTCCAGGACTCAACTGCTTTGCCTTTTCTCTTAAGCAATACTCACAATGAGTGAATCAGATGACAATCACGGGTATGGGTAAACTGATTAAATGATAAAGCATTCAAGAGTATGGCACTCTACCTACAACTTCAGCTTCAGCAATGAAGGAGCAGGCAACTTCATTAAAATTCATTGAGGTCTGTTTGCAATGTAAATTTTATTTGCACTGGTGTAAATGGTTGTAGTTCAGATAGATTGAGTATAAATTCTGATTCACTGTTACTTCATATTTGACTTTGTGTTATTTGTTTGTGACTTCAAATTAAGAAGTAAAATGATGTATCGCCTTGAGGATTATTTACTTGAGAGGCAAGAAGTAATCAAGTAGGTCGAGTGTAAATTCTGATTTTTTTTTTGTTTCATATTTGACTTTTATTATTTGTTTGTGCAAATTAAGAAGTAAAATGATGTATCTCCTTGTGATGTGGTCTCTGTTTTATACGAGAGAGAATTAAGAAGTAAAATGCATGTAGGGGCGCCCCACTGATGCATCTCAACCGTGTATTGGGAACATCTCACCCAAATTCTAAGATGTGCATGCAGAGTTGCCCCACTGATGTGATCTCCAATTTGCATCGTCAATGACTGCAAAAATGAGACAATGTACAGGTTTTTTATTAGATAAGATTGCAAATCATACTTAGAAACAAACCAATGCAAAAGAAAAAGCATTAAGCTTTTGTTGGTAATAAAGTGCTAAAAGAAAAAGCAATAGGCTTTCAGCCACTTTTTTTTTTTTTTTTTTTTTTGAGTGCAGCCACTTCAACTACTGTCAAACAGCTCTTAAGTAATGTAAGTTTGAAACAAGGTTTAAAGTATTGGCACGTATTGGTCTGTATCGGTTGATACGTATCGTTTAGGCATTCCTCCGATATGCTCTTATAGTGGGTGTATCGGGGGTCCGACTGATTTACAGGATGAATGAGCCCTAAACTGATCTTCCTGAATCGGTTTTGAGAAAAATAAAAATAAAAGTAAAAAAAAGTATCGATTTGCCCTTATTGACATATCGGATGTATCGATATTTTGAGCCTTGGTTTGAAAATTTAAAAACATTCGAATTATGATTAGACAAGGCAGTGCAAGATGAACAAAATAACCTTGTTGAAGAAAAAAATATAGATCTGCTATCCACAAACTATTCTCACATCCCTAATTTCCTATTCATAGATAAAAGGAAGATATTTCCAATGCTTAACTGTAATGTCAAGAAGATTCTAGATGAATCATTCACCCAAAAAGGTTCTCTCTCTCTCTCCAATAATCACCATCTTCTTCTAGCCTTTGGGGGTCAATCAGAATAGCCTTATCCACCATCTCACAACAAGAAGATTCTCAGTTTTGGTTTACAGTCAGAATTGAAATTGAAATCGGAATAGTCTATTTCCATGAATCAGAATGGGAATTAAAATTGACTGGAATTGAATTTTATTCCCAAGAGGGGAAGGGAATGGCCATTCCACCAAGAATAGGAATAGAAATCCGATTCCACCAAACTAAAACAGTTGGAATTGGAACAGACCATTCCAATTCCGATTCCAAACCCCTATTCCAGCGAACCAAACAAACCCCGACCCTAACAGTATTTCTTGTCTCCACATCATTGGCATTTGTGTTCTATTGTTATTCAATGCTTAGGGACTTGGGTACGAGATTGGAAAAGGATATATTTCAAAGCTCAATAAGAAAATGGGAAAGTTGATTGGTTTTAAGGGAATGCGGATGCCCTTTTGAGGGGTATATTTGTCAATAATGTGCATGGTTTTGTTTTTGGAAACAAAAACAGCTGCCATATAAGTAAAAGCAAATATAATGTTGATGTGTTTATTAAATCAGAAAAACTTACATGAAAAAAAAAATATGTAGCCTTAAGCTATTGAGAGAATTGCAAAAAATACTAACCTGGGGTGCGCCAAGATGAATCGAACTTCAGCATATCTTACCTCAGTTCAGCTGTACTTTTAAATTTGAATTCGAGTTCAATTCAACAATTTTGAATTGAGATTGAAAATTAAAAAAAAAACTAATATATTTTTGCATTTTATATATATAATATTTTTATGATATATAATAGGGTAAAATACAAAAACCTCCCCTAAAGTTTCTAACAATCATAAAAACTTTCCCTATAGTTTTATTTTAACAAATACCTCCCCTGAACTTTTGAGAAACTCAACAAAAACCTCCCTTCCGTCACCTTTTCAGACAGAAAATGTTAGATTGATGCACCAGTTTTTTCCAAATACCCATTTTACCCTTTTATAAATTATTTTACATGCAAAATTATTGAAATAACCCTATTTTAATTTGACAAAAACCTCCTTTAATGATCATCTTTTAACATTTTTTGTCGAGTTAAAACATGGTTATTTTAATAATTTTGCATGTAAAATAATTTATAAAAGGGTAGAATGGGTATTTGGAAAAAACGGTGCATCAATCTAATGTTTTCCATCTGAGAAGGTGACAGAAGGAAAGTTTTTGTTGAGTTTCTCAAAAGTTCAGGGGAGGTATTTATTAAAATAAAACTATAAGGGAGGTTTTTATAATTGTCAGAAACTTCAGAGGAGGTTTTTGTATTTTACCCTATATAATATATTATATTTTATATTAGATTCGAAAAACTAATCAAAACATATCCTGAGATTTGAACTCGATTAGTATCAAACTTGAATTGGAATTCAAGGCTGAACTGTTCAGTTAAAGCTCAATTTGATTGCACGCACCCCTACCCAAACCTAACAAGGTCACAATTATTCAGGCTTATCACCCGAATGAGGAGGGGTGTTCGATCGCACCAGAATTGAAGAATGAAAAATCTGCAAATCCGTTGGAAATCTACCACCCGAATCCGGTTCAAAATGCAATCAAATTCAGTAGGAGGTTTTCAACTTGAACAGAATTCGGGTGTCATCGGATCCAATACGCAATTATATGCTAGTTGCAATTGATTTTAGCAGGTTTTCCTTTTTCAAAATTTCATATGTTTTGTTGACCCTTACCTCCTAAGCAAAACCCCTGCAACTTCTTTTTTGCTTTACCCCTGCAACTTCAAGTCGTCAACTGTTCTGTAAACAATTGCCAACTTTCTGTACATATAATCAAAAAGAGCTTTTAAAGAAAATCGATCTGTCAGAGGTAATGTCAATTTTATCCCCTAGAAAAATCAAATTGAGCTCTGATCATCTCTCTTTCCATCTCTAAGTTTCGAATGGAACTGTATGAGCTCATATAAATTACAAGTTTATATCATTACTAAATACAGAAATTCAGTTATTCTACAACTATCTTATACCATACAAACTCTGGAGTGTGGATAGATCTACATTCCGGATCAGATTATTATCAATACAAAACCAGCATTAAATTAAGAAACAGAAACCAAGTGAGTTGCCGAAATCTTCTACCCTGTCTCATCGACACCAGGGAATCTGATGATCATATTAAAAATCGTATAAAAGACCAAACACAGCTCATGTCTAAGCTCCTCGCTTTGGACGGTTTCGAGTGCGTGGAAGTGCAGGTTCCTCCTCTACAGAAGCAGGGAGAGCTTCATCGTTGTCTTCTACATCCTTCATTGCTTGATTAAGAGCGAGCTGATTTAAACAATAGTTCAGGTCAGCAACAATTTTTATCATTCATAGAGAAGACATCCTCTGACAGTTTTTATCATTCATAACTACAAACTCAGCCTTGAACCAGTAAATTGGTTCCTACTAATTCCCAAAGGACGAAAAGAAATAAAGCAGAAAATTGAAAAGACAATGAAAGAAAAAGACCATCTCAAAATGATGATTATGCTAGTTTCTCCCGTTCTAATATTTCTTGCAAGCGGTTAAGCCTACGAGTGTGCTCTGCTGCTTTAGCCTTTAGTAACAAGCACAACTACATAATTACATTACATCCATCATAAAGGATCTCAAAATAATTTGCTACTTCAATGTTATGCTTAAATAAATATATCAAAAATCAACTGGAGTATTTAACTGGAAAAGAACTCCCAGGTTAATATGGTTTAAACAACAGATTGGCCAGTTTGAGATAACAGGGTCATCATGTATAACATGCAAAAGATCACACTCTAAAATTTAAATCATGAAAAGCAATCACATTAACTTCACATTTCTATTGAGGCTCCTTTTTAATGGAAAATTTTTATTATATTTGCAAATATAAAGGCGGTATTCTCTCATTAAAATAACATGCTTTAGAGAAACAGAATTATAAAGAAAATATAACTTCACATTTCTATTGAGACTCCTTTTTAATGGAAAAAATTTATTGTATTTGCAAATCTAAAGGTGGTATTCTCTCATTAAAATAGCATGCTTTAGAGAAACAGAATTATAAAGAAAATATAATTCTGCGGATCTTTTCCCATTAAATAAGAAGGCTGACACTGAAAAGAGTGCAAAGTTATATTGCATAATAAATCATCTGTCCTTTATTTTTATTTTTGTTCAAATTGGTCTCACAGTGACCTAGATAGTTTGTAGCAGTCCCTGTCAAAATGGTTAGATTAAAATCACTTGGGTCAAAGGGTTAGCTATGGCTTTACTTTGTCTTGTCAGATAACAACGTTATCTGAATTAATGTCCAGTTCTTGCTCCGGAACAACATAACCATCTAATTTGGTTCAGTCCAGTTTGGAGTTTGGACATTGACTTACACCTTTTGATACCACATTCACATACCCTGATTATTAACCTTCCCTTATCCAATGTCATGACCATGAGAAGAAAGATGAAAGTATCCATTGTGAACCTTATCTACTATAAAACTTCATTCCTCTACTTGAATGTTCTGAATTCAAACAAGTATATCAAATCTTAAAGTTTGTTGGCATCCCAACCAAATGGACCAATATGCCAAGCAAAATAAACTAAAGAAAACATGTGATAAGCCTGTTGAACCGGATAGAAAGTCGGTTACCATGCTATCGTTGCTGGTGATTCATGATAAAATCATTAATCAAGCCATCTACCAACCAACGATATCAGTCAAAGACAGATGTTTACTCGTACCCAGAAATCTAAATTCTAAAACAACAAAAGATAACTCCATTATACACTTATCCGCCATCAAAGATGCAATGGCTACCACAAATCAGGGATAAATTTGACATGACCAACTAAAACACCTCTAGTGTACAAAACCACAGATAGCATTTGATTTCATTCAAACAACAATATATCAATTCTTAAGAGTCTATTGGCATCCAAATAAAATGGACCCAATATGCGGAGAGGGTTTCTTTTCAATATCCAAAAAATGAAAAGCGAAATACACTAAGAAAACATGTGCTAAACTGCTAACTGCTAATCTTGATGAACCAGAGAAAATATCGACTACTATATTCTTATTGTTCGTGATTGCTGATAAAAGCATAGAAACAACCACTATTCATAAACGGTATCAATCAAAGATTAACGTGTAATCAAACCCAGAAATCTAAAAAAAAAAAAAAAAAAAAAACAATTTCACACATATTCACCATCAAAAATTACCACACAGCAGAGCTAAATTTGACATGAACAACAAAAAGCGCCGAACTGGAATAATAGTCCCCTGTAAACTACATTGTTAATCAGGCTTATCCGGTCTTCAACAGTCAATTGCTAGCGATGACCCAAAATTCTCAGTTTAACATGAGTAATCACCAGAGAACATTAGGGAATTTCTCCGAACAACTGGCAGGTTGGATTTAGGTTTGAAATAACTTTAACCGGACACCACTAGGACACGGTGCAAAATCCTCCACCCAATTATCAAATGCAGGAACAATACGGGTTAACAACTCTCCACATCAATAGACATAAATTGATTTGGTACAAAGCTAATCATGAGTTAATTACCTCCTCAAGGAAATCCCTGTCCAGCTTATCAGCAATTCGTATGGAGGTGAAGACAGTGAAGGCAACAAGAGAGAGTGGAAACACGAACGCGAAGATGAGACTGCTCGTGCTTGGCCCCGCCCGTGTCACCACCTCTAACCTTCTAGCATTCTGGCGACGGCCCAAGTAGCCGGAGAAACGAACTTCCCGACAAGGGAAGACGTCTAACGTCCGGAAGGATGCCTGCGTTGGTTTGTTCAGACGGAGAGAAGTGAAGACGGAGTTAGAAGTGGGGAGAGTGAGACTGGCCATCCTTCTTTTTGGTGGTAAGTCGGGTGGATATTATCATGCAAGCATTTATGTAGATAACAAAACCTTATTTAGATGTAAACACGTGGCGGGGCATACTGAGAAACAGTACGCTTCAATGGTCCCACAAGAGATCCAATATATGTGAAGACCGAAGATCCAATGTCAACCTTTTGGACGGTGGATATAAGACAAAACTTGATCAGCCTACTAAATAAAATTCGATAATAATCACTATTTATGTGCTAGCGTGTCACTACAATGAAATCACAATATACATAATGACATGATTTAAAACGAGGGCAGATTAAGTGCTCACACCATTGTTTTGAAAATGGGATCTCAGATCTAAAGTAACTATAAGTGAGTGGGTGAGAGAGAAAGAGAGAGATCAGATCTGAGATCAAAGAGAGAGAAATCTCAAATCTGTCGTAGTCCCTACCGCCGTTGTCGTTGCTGGTGAATATTACCTCTTCCTCCATCTTCTTCTTCTTCTTCTTTTTCTTTCTTTTCTTTTCTTTCTTTCCTTTCTTCCTTGTTTTTTTAAGGGTTCAATTTTTCAAACTATTTGACCCGAATGGTCGAACTGCTGACCTGAAAACCAGTGGTCAAAATGGTTTGGTATCCAGGTTTGTTTTTCAAACCTTGGGACACAACAGGGTAACCCATCTCCCTCCCTTAACCGATTATGTCAATGGGTCGGGTCTATCTTATAGTACCAATCCAACCAAACTGATTATGTTCATTCTGATTATGTGGTTTTGTCCGGATTAATAGTTGAATTTGGACTGGTTCTTTCTGTTTCGAATCCATTTAGAGTTTGGGAAGAGTATAAATACAAATATATTTGATACGAAACCGTGTATATAATAACCTTATATTTGCATTATACATATTTGTATATGAACACTTCCCAAATTGAGCAAAAACAATTATATATAAAGGCCTTGCGGTTTTTCTTCAATTTGTGTTTTTAACTAAATAACCCAATTGCTCGTCCTAGTTGCATGAATGCGGACATATAAGTAGGAATCTGATAAATGTCCAAGAGTTTATAGTATTAGTACAATAATTCTTTTTTAATTCTAAATTGTATACCTAAAAATAACTCTTAACATTGTAGTCTTTGTTGTCAAATAGCATTCAGTGCATAAAATAACAGTATCTTGTACATTAACTGTTCATTCATGTCAAAAAAGCTAGGCGACAAAATGAAAATGTTACATACATGGAAATGCCCTTCAAAAACCTTGTTAAGTAATGGAATTTGGAACCCTACGCCTACAAAAGCTATTGCTTAAATGTGCCTTCTGAGATATCTGATTTGATGAGATTGGAACTTGGAAGCACCATATTGAGCCCTAGCCCTTTCTCCAACCAGCAAAACAGCAAAAGTATATTTTAAAGTGCGTTGGCACCTTTTCTTCTTCTTCTTGTGTCCACAGACCAGATTCTGGCATGGTCTTTGTCTGTTTGACATTCAACTTCCCATTATCTTAATTTCCATGTTCAGCCATATATACCTAATTCCTCTATCACGGTTCTCCAAAGAGAAAAAACGCTAGCACTACCAGCCTAGAGCTTAAGAATGAGACCAATGGGACAATGGTCACTGCCAGCAACATCCGGGAGAATGTATGAATCATGAACCTTGTCAGCTATAGATTCTGAGACAAGAAAGTAGTCAAGCCTCCACCCTGTTCCACATTAATAATGGAAGAATGCAAGAAAATGGAATTAATAAGGAGCACAAATCATTAAATAATATTTTACATAGTAAGTTAATGGAAGTCCATATTGGAAAATTAATTCCTAGAATGTTTTCAAGGAGATCCTTGTTAACCAATACCGGAGGACATTGGCATGAACCACACTAGCTTTGAAAGAACACCCAACTAGCTAGAGAGACCATATAAGAGAGAGAGCGAGAGAGAGATTGTTCATAAAGAAAAGCAAGAAAACTAAATGAAAGAGGGTCAAGCAACTTCATTGGAGCCAGATGAAAAAGCTCACCAACAATGTAAAAATCCAATAGCAGTCAGTTACAATGCTGTAACTCTTACCCAGTTCTATATATAATAATAGAAGCTACTTCCTCCTTTTTCCCAAAAAAAGCCCAAATGTAGGGTGGATATACGAGAAAAAGGACACAAATTTGGTAGCTATTATCAGCTCATTGCTTGAGAGATTTTTGGACATGGAATTCACACTAAAAATTGAAAATATCCAACATGAGACCCATTATAGGTATTTGGTATCATAGATTGCTAGACTTACTTTAAATGCTTCACTCATTTTCGTTCAGATTACATAGTACCTGTATTTATCCAATGTTCTCTTATTTAAACCCAACAATAAATATTCCTCAACAAAACAGCCTATTCATTTCCCTGCTTGTAGACAGTAACTGTCAACATAATTGGTAGTTAGTACTCAGGCACATGGAACCACATCTTCCTATCCATCCATGCAACAAGGGATCTATATATAGATAGATAGAGAGATAGATATATGTGAAACCACATCAGTTTTTTCCTAAAACTCAAAAGGCGAAGCATATAACTGTATTAAAGCTCTTCATAATATTCTTTTGTTGAAATACCAAAAAAAATCAGCTAGAACTGCATCAAACTGTCAATCAGTAACCAACCCCCCCCCCCCCCCCCCCCACACACACACACACAAAGACAAGTTTGTTAATCAGTACTTTACCCTTTTTATAATTATTATTTATTTTTTATCAGTGAAAGAAAAATTCATTAAGTACTTTACCCGTTTTATTTAGAATATAAATTCTGTGGTTACCTCCCAAGGATTCCCAAAACCAATCTTTTCCTCAATCTGTAAGTTTTTTCTTTTTTCTCAACCAGAAAATAACTATTGTGCATTAATGTTGCCCTCATCCTTACATTACTGATGGCATAACATACTTTATTCATGGAAAAACAATATGTTTTTTCCTTTCATCAAACCATCAACTCTGAAGAATCAGCAATAAATTAATTCAAATTATCCTGAATTGCTTCACAAGTAATCATTTTTTATTAACTCTCTGTGTGATAAGGATTGTGATTATTCTCACCTATGTTATGATACCATTCTGCTAACTGCTTTTAATTCTGCAAAATCAAGAATAAACCAGATGGAAGAGAAAATAGTGAAGAATTCGCACTACATTCAGGAAGTGCAAAACAGGCCATGTATCGTGCATGTGGGCAATACAGAAGTGACCAAAAGCTTGTAACTTGGATATTTGTAGCACTAAATTTCATGGTTACACTTCAGAAATCTCAACCTCATATACATTTCACCAATTCTAGCCAAAAAGGTATGGATGGAATCTATTGTTTAGAAATATTATTTCCTTTTGAAATGAAACAAGAGCTAAGTTTTGCTGGGCTTCTGTTCCTCCAGCAGTGCTCTGGGCTGTGTGGCCAGAAAGAAACAGAAGGTTGTTTTATCAGAAATCCACTTCTGAAGCGGAGGTCATCAATTCAGCCATAGATTCCATTAGGAGCTGGTTGTCAATACATATTGAATTCAGAGATGTTACTTCTGATCATACTTTTTTGAGAGTGGACTTTTTTTGAGGTCCTTTTTTGTACAGTTACTTGTTGTACACAAGACCAGTTATTAATACAATCATACTTTACCTTCTTTCAAAAAAAACAAGAGCTAAGTTTTTGGGTTCAACAATCAGTGTAACAAGTAGGAAATAATTAAGTGTAGCTGCAAAATTATGTATTTGATGTAAGCATAATATGCATTATTTCAAAGATCCTTGCGTGGTGCTGGTTTTATTAATCCTAATTTCGTGCAATAAAATTAACAAACACCCAAAAAGTATATCAGTAAATGTAGAACGTGAGATACCTATATTCTTCAGACGCCCACCATGCCTATAACCCCAGTAAGTATAGCCAACAACACCAGGATGCTGCCTTCTGAAGGTATCCACAAAACCCTCAGATAAGAAATTTCTTTCAAACGACTCCCTTTCTTCATCTGTAAATCCAGCACTTCGTCTATTTCCCTGTGAAATGATAATATAATTGCGAAGCATCGGAATGTTAAGAGCGGTTAATATTTAGGAATAATATCTAGAAAAATCAAGCAAAAGCACCATAGTTACCATCATTTGATCTAAAAGGCCAAGACATAGATACAAGAAACAAGAATACAACTCTGTATTTATTTATTTATTTATTTGATCAATAACAGTGAATTGTATTAAGATTATGAAAATTACAAAGGGAGCTAAATAATCTTAACTCCCAAATACAACCAGTGAACACCAAAAGTAAAGCAATTACAACACAGCCCAAAAAATAGAGTTTCTGTTCACCCCTTGCCTAGCTAGGCCATCTGCCAATGAGCTTGCACTTCTCTTTACCCATGTGCATTGAATTTCAATGTCTTTAGTCAGCCACTTAAATTTCCTCTTTTCATTGCTGTAATTCCAGAGCCCAGAGTTATCCTCTTTTAGCCAGTTCACCACGACTTCAGAATCTCCTACTATGATCGACTTATTAATATGGTTATAACACACTTCTATATTTAGTTTTTAAGCTAAATATCACTTTTTAATACTTCCATCTTGCTAAATTGAGTATAACTTCTAGCATCTATAAATTGTTCAGGTAAATATTCTATTTTTTGACCACCAAAATTTACTTCTAACGGGGAGGTCACCACCTCTTATTTTACTAATGCGAAAATTGGAAACCTATGAGAAGGGATGTTGAAGCCTTACCTCCTAATAAAAAAAATAACGAGATCATCATTTACTAAAAAGAAACCATACAAAAAAAAAAGATGGTCTCAGGACTGTGTCACAAAGAACACTTATTATTTCTTAAATATGAAATTCAGTAAGCTGGCCTTACATAACAAGATAGCCACCTTTGCCTGATTTAGCATAGTGGACAAATCCATGTATACTTCTGAATTTGACATGTCAATCATATTATCCACTAAGATGTCCCATTCACAAACTTTGTAAGTGTTCATGCTATAAAGAATACTCAGGAAGTATCCAATATTTGTCCCAGTTATATGGAGTCTTTGGAGGGGCAGACTGGATATGACCTAACCATTGGCTTTATTTTTCTTTGGGCACAAAGTGGCTGTTGTCAGATTCAAAACCACATTCTCAAGCTTGTCACCCTAGACTTTTAACATTACACCAAGAAATGGCTACTAATAACTCTAGAAGCATCCATGCAATATCTGGTATCATATCAGGTAAGTATCATGCAAACATATTGAATTTTAATTTAATATATCTCTTTTTGATGGGTTTCACTTATTTATCACCTTTGTATCAAAAAAAAAACTTATGTATCTCCTTAGAGTAAGCTGCCCAACCATCTTCTTTAAATCCACTTCTTACTGCCATCTGAAAGTTAATTGGGTGCTATATTGTTGAGTTCATCTTCATAACTTATGTTTTGGGCCTCTGTAATTCCTTGAAGAGTGAAACTCCAAAAACTCTTGCTGCATAACACTAAATTGCTAGTTGAGCTTAAAACATAACTCAAAAACAAGAAGAAGAGAAATTAGAGGAATGTAAACCTTTTTTTCTCTTAACTAGAATGTTAACTATAGAATATTGTGGATCACTTACAGCTGGGTTAAAAATGTCTATCTCTTGATGAGCACAGTTGAGATCACCGGTCAAAATGACAGGCTTTGACTTTTCTAGCTCCTGTATCATGTGCACGAAGCCATTAGCACTATTCATTACAAACTAGAGATAATGGTTTACCAACAATTTCATTGTCAACTTATGCACTTAAACATAACTATAGGTACAAGGCAACAAGGCAAAGATCCATAAGTATAGATGGTTCTTAACAGTAACCAGATTTATGTACGTGGTGATGCATACTTTATTTGAGAGGAATGAGAAAAAAGGGTAAAAGAATAAAAAACCAAAGCTACCCACTACCATATGAATTCTATTACCTTATTGAAAAGAGGGAATTCAATGGCTCCAATCTGTGGAGTCCCACTCTTTCATTCCCTTGATTACCCTTTTACTTTTTTTCATTTTCTTTTCTGTCCCTCTCTCCATAATCTTCAGTTCTCTTTCCCTAGGCAAACATTTAGTGTTCCACCGATTAACTCCTTGTGTTGATAGTTCTACCACCTCTCACTGTGTGTCTTTGTGTTACAACAGGCAATTCTATACTTATTTGTGGCAATGTTTTCCACCATACCTCCCTGATAGTTTCACACTTCTACATGCCCATCCTAGATCCTTAACACATGTTTCACATGCCTCAAGGCTGGTATCATAATATAGAAAACTTTTGCTAGGGAGTTAGGACAAATGAGAATGGTATATTATTTTTGCAAAATACTAGTTCAAATAAAAATATCAAGTAATAATGGCACAATGCTTTGAGATCTTCTAAGAATCCTTGAAAAGTTGTGACCAGAAAAAAGAATGATATGAAATTCTTAGAATATTTAGCACAGTGGAATACCAATGGTTTCACTTACCAGAATTTAATTTAACTCAACAAAGCCTTATTCAAAATCCTGACTACATTATTTGCTGCATGAGTTCTATTTTGCCATTCCACTCTATCTAGGGCCACATCCATGGTCAAGCTCTAAAACCTCAAATCATTTTTAAGTACCTCAACCCATACTCCATACTCTTTTTGTCTGCCCCTAGCTCTTTTAAATCCAATCACTTCAAAAAAACAGTATAACTTCTTGAAACATTTTTGTACAAACAAAAGAACAATAGACATTTACAGTATAATTGCTCAAATAACTATTTAAAAGACTAATTCAAAATAAAAAAAAAAATAGCACACTGAAAAATAAGGATCAATATTTAGCATGGATGTGCAAAGCAATTCAAAACAGAGTGATGAACAATAGAAATTGTCTGAAACATTATAGAAGATAGGAAACATAATTGTGAACATACAGTTAGGCTTCCTTGAACTGACACCATACCATGAAATCCAAGATATAGAACTCATTGAGATTAACCTATTTTAACCTATATAAAACGAAATATAGGAAGGGTTCACTCACTTTCATGTAATTGCTAAGAGAGGGATCCCACTGCGTAACCCTGTAAGTCTAGAATCCAATAAAATCCATTAGTCCAAGAAACTTTCCTATTATACAGTAAATACAGACAACTTCACGAGAACAGATGTAGTCAATAAGCAGAAATTTCAATACCAGCCTTCTCAAACCTTCCCCAGAATTAGGAACATATCCACTTATCAGATAAAATTTATCAAACTCCACTGTCACAAGCCGTCCTTCGCTATCATGATCTGAGATGCCTAGCCCATATCTCACTGAAAGTGGCTTTATCTGTCAGAGATATAATTGGTATTTAGCACCAATTAAATAGAAAGGTCGCAAAGCTATTAACCATATGAAATAAATTTTACCTATATATCATGCTGCACAATGTAACAAGGTTAGAAGAGAAGAAACAATCACATAGTATATCATCAACTCATGATGATTAAATGAAAACATAGAATTTCAGTGTCAGAACAACGGATACCTGAAGAGCCAGAACAATCCTGTCTTATTCAAAAACATGTACAAATTGGAGATCTATTAGGGTAAAAGAAACTACAACATAGACGACCAAAAAACTACAAAGGAAATATACAAGCATCCAATTTAAACAATCATACATTACATGTTGGATTAAACATAGAGACTCTGATAAACAAGAAATTGTATACTGGGGTGTATACACTCCGGTACTCCCATCAGCTTTCTTTTGATAGAGTATATCAATGAGCTTCCATGTCTGTACAGTTATTTACTAGTAATAGGATTTTGGTACATTTACAAGTAATATTGCCAAAAGTTGCAAACTGATGAAGTTCATATGGTAAAATGAGTCAAATACATTTTGAAAACAACCATGACTAGCTCAAGACAGTCTAGATTTCAATGTGCATTTATGACCAGATCAACATTCAAACACTATTACATAATTAAACAAAGAAACAATTTCAGAATCGAAGTACCAAAGCTTGGTTTCTAAACACTTCACAAATGGGTACTACAATCAAAGAAGCAATATACCCGAGAAATAATTGCAGTACCAGAGTACCCAAGCTTGGAGACACTGCACGTCCAGAAGCTATTCTCATATCCATCTAGGAGACATTGCCTGACTTTCTCCACATCCTTCTCCTATTTTCAAAAGGTCCTTCAATTAGTTGGTCAATAGCAAAAATTTGAAGACCTTTCAAGTAATGAAGGAAATACAAATCTCACTGCTTAGTAAACACATAAGTGCTTAATTCGCATAGATTGAGAATGCTGTATTTTAAATGTGTATCTCAAAATTAAATTATAATTTTTGCAGACATAATCTTTTGCTTGTTTTGACTAACTTGAAGGATTTAACACTATTATTTTGCCTTTAAAATACATATATTGCAATCTTCTTTTTGGAAGACACTAGAAGCTAATGACTTCTCCTCAACAATCAGTTCTACACATAAAAAGAAGAGAATTGAGCAAAGAATCAAGCTGAATTTTGATGGGAGTTCACTAGGCAATCCAGGATCCTCGGGTATAGGCGGAGCTCTAAGGGATGGAGGAGGCAGAATTTTGGCCTTTTTACTTGGGGCCAATAGGGGTTGGAGACTACTGCAAGCTGAGGTGTTGACCCTCCTTCAAGGTCTGAAATTAACTAAACTGTGCCTCCATCAGATTGAGATAGAGGGAGATTCAAGGTTGGTAGCAGGTTGGATACAGAAAGAATCTTGGAATTTGGAGCCATCAACAAGACATGAGAGAATTTTGGAGGTTAGCAAGGACGATTGGAGTAACTTCTAGATGGGTTAGAAGATCAGCCAATGGTTTGGCTGACAGCTTAGCCAAACAGTGCTCAACTAGAGGGGAACTATGTTGGGCTGCTTTTTAACCTTTGTATTCCCTATGGGGCCAGCACAATCTGTGGTGCTCATATCTTGTAATAATCTTTATTAATGTCCAATGAAAGTTATTGTTTCCAATAAAAAAAGGATATAAATCATATTTCTCTTAGTAATATGATCTCAAAAGCAGTGTTTTAAAACGCGGAGGTGTGACGCGAGGCGTTCCACTACCTAGAGGAGTGAGGCGTAATTTAGAACGCAAGAGGCATAAGCCTCCTTAAGAGGAGGGGGGGGGGGTTACGAGGAGGATGAGGAGGAAGGGGGATCTCATTTTTTCTTTATTTTTAATAAAAATCTTTTATACAAGACCCCCCCCCCCTAACTCAAAAAAAAAAACAAATTGGGCTGCATTGAAAAGGGGGCAGGGGGCAAACCATTTTCTTTCCCCTTATCTTTTCCTCCCTTCCCTTTCATTTTCTTTTCTTTCCTTTTCTCTTTTTTTCTTCTCTTTCCTTTCCTTTTCTTTCCCTTTCTTTTCTTTTCCTTTCCTTTCCTTTCCTTTTTTTCTTTTTTCTTTTTTTTTTCTGTATTTTCATATCAGATGTGCATGAGGCGCAAGAGGCATACGCCTCTAGCACACTCATGAGAAAAGTCAGCGCCTCTGGCATACGCCTCAGGGCGTTTTGGGAGCGCCTCGCCTGGAGGCGTGCCTCCAGGCGTACGCCTCCCACACCTTTTAAAACACTGCTCAAAAGCAACTTGGCAATACAAAAGGTAAAATTTACAACTTGTGCTCTCTTTAGAATGTGGGATAGCATGACAGGAAGAGTTAATAGAAAGGTCTTAAGGAAGAGTGACCACAAGGGTTCATCTTGAGTTCACATCACATGGGAAATATGTTTTGATCCTAAAGGCATGCAGGGACTTTTCTTTCCACAGCCCCTCTCTGACATAATTAACATTGTTCAACTGTCTGCCCTTGTTTTCATTTTACTTCTAATAGAACTAAAAACAGTCTAAACCTTGTTCTCTTTCATTTCATTTTCTTCAACAAAGAATATTGATTCCAATTAATCAATTCATGGTTAAACGAACCACCCTAGAGCAGGGTTAGTAATTCATCTTAAAATAAAAGGAAATAAACTTTCAAGAAGCACTAATTAATCCTGCCCATCAGCTTAATTTCAATTAGCATGTAACCATTAAATTTTGCATTTAATTGACTAAATCTCTAACACATGACGTGATGCAAATCAAATACTAACTTAAGCAGGTGGGAGGACAATAAGGCTGTGATCGGGTAGGAATCAGATTGGATATAGATATATCCAAATCCAATACGATTACCAAACTGTTAGATCTGAATCTGATCCAAAATCCGATTTATCGGACACATGTCAGATTTGTATTTAACCAAGTTCAAATGATTGTTCTTAAAATGAATATAAAAATTATAAAGTTTTAAAAAACTAATTACTTTTTAACTTACAAATAATATATATACAATCAGAGGTGGCTTTTAATCCAATCGCATGGGTTTAAATCCGCATCTGATCTGATTGTTAATCAGATGCAAGTTATAACATTTAATCGGATCATATGTCAGATCATAATTCAGACTTTTGGGGTTCATTAACATCCCTAGAGGACAATATTTCATAAGGCCTATTCAGATGGTTTGCTCTTGTAATTTGTTTCATCACTCAGAACAACTTCAAACAATATTCCAGTATCTACACAAACTTTTTCCTTCTGTTAAACATCACTCTTGAGCCAATATCATTTTTAATCTTGCAGCAACCCAGTTAGAGACCAGGTATCCAGAGAGCTAAAAAAAGCCACAGGAGTTGATTAATATAGTTACAATACTTGCCTGAAGTTTGGTCTCTTGTAAGCATAACACATCAAAGTTCTCCTTCTGTGCAAGTTGTAGTGCAGAGAAGGCCTCCAATTTGAGTAAAGCTCTTAAGCCATTAACATTCCAAGATAATATCTTCACAAATTCTGTATCATCAGTAAGAGGAGGAGGCCTCATGGTTCTTGGATTATATGGAATCCACCCTTGTTGTGGCTTCTTGTGTGTAAGCACAGTCCATGGTTCACTAGAATTAATGGAAACATCAACTTTATCAATAGTTCCATCATCTTCATTACAAATCTGCAGAGATTGTCTGCTCGCTCGGGAAGGCTTCTTACCTAGCATCATTAACCACAGAAAAATCCCATCAACCATGTTAAATGAATTTAAAGTCATTAATATGAAATAAATAATTAAGCAAATCATATACAACTATAGTAAAATGTGTATTTCCAACTCTTGAACCCTACTAAGGATGACTCTAGAATCCGGATCCCCACCCCTATTGGTTCTTTCTCCTGTGCCTCCTTTAAAGTGCTAAGCCAGCCCACCGATCCTGTAACCCCCCCTTTCCCTGTTAATGAGGCTTGGTGCAGGTCAATTCCTCCTAAGGTTGGTAGTTTTTGTTGGGAAGCCTTTCTAGAAAGAATCAACACTGGTGATTTTCTCCAAAAGAAGAGACCCAATACTTGTTTGTCCCCTCATTGGTGTGTTCTTTGTAAAGCTGATGGAGAGACCGGTTTTCATCTTCTAGTGTCTTGCCAATTTGCAAAGTCTATTTGGGAGTGGGCTTTCTCTCTTTTTGGGTGTACTTGGATTCCTCCATCAAATTTACAAGGCCTTTTTGCTCCTTTTTTCAGGTGGTGTATGAAAAGATGAAGGACTATGGGGAGAGGACTGAGGGCAGCAGTATGCTGGTCTTTATGGGAAGAAAGAAACTCCAGAATCTTCTTTGATGTAGAGAGAGGGGATGAAGAGCTGAGGGCCCTGATCCACATAAGAGTTATTTAGTGGATGAAGTCCCTAGAGATACTCACAAAATATACAATGGATGACATGCTGAGGAAGTGGGGTGAGATTGCTAGCTGTACCTACACTAAAGTAGGGATGAGTGTGTCTTGGACTCCCCCACCTGCAGGTTTCATAAAACTAAACTTTGATTGAAGTAGCAAAGGGAACCCCGGACAATCAAGGATTAGGGGTGTCTTCAAGGATGAGAATGGAGTTGTTTCTGCCATGTTCTCATACCCAATTGGAGTGGGTGACGCTCTCAGAGCTGAGATCCACACAGTTATGGAAGGTGTCCAGAAAGCTAGGGAGATGAATATCAGAAAACTCATAATTGAAGGGGACTCGGAGGTGGTAGTTGGGTGGCTGAACAAAGAAGATAGTGGTTTATGGAGTTATAGTATTTTGAAGAGGAAATTCAGATGGCTGGTTCGAGAAATGGAAGTTAAAATCAGTTGGGTAAAAAGATCAGCTAATTCTTTTGCTGACGGGTTAGCTAAACAAAGGGTGGACAAGGATGTCATGTTCTGGGCACAGATGTAATTTAATTTTCTTCTTTTTCTGTTTTCTCTTTCTCTCTTGTTTCCTCTCTTGAGGCTCATGATGTAGTTGGAAGATAAGAAAGTTTGTCTTCCTCTCTGTAATTTATTGTAATAATTAATGAATTGTGTTAATGATAAAAAAATGTATATTTCCAACTAGTGGTGAAATAAAGGATAAAGAAGCAATAACTAATGCAAGGAAGAAAGAATATACCGGCAACAGCATCAACTTTGACTGATAACTTTTGTTTTGTCATTACCCTTTTCTTTTTAACTTCAACACCAGTACCAACTGAAGGTGCTTTTCCCCTTCTCTTAATTCCAGAAATCTCTGAAACAGCGTTCACATTTTGCTTTTGATCTTCATCATATGAATTATTACGCTTCTGTTTAGATGAAACAGTTTCGGAACAAACTGATTTGATCATTGAGGTCCCATGTTCTTCTCTTACAACTGAACTTTGACCTGCACACCCTAGAAACTTAAGACCATAAAAATGACCCATCTACCCTATAAATATTACAGAGAGAACCCAAACTTATTTTGAAAGAGATGATAAGATACCATCATTTTCATTGGTCAGGAAATTCTTCAAGGTTGACACAAGATCATTTTTGCAACCTTTAGCAGGGATTCCAGCACTCCTGAAAATTTAATACAACATAATAGGAGTTTTTTTTCATCTTTATCAAAAATAATACACGACAGGTATCAGGAACCGTTTAGTGGGTGTTCAGCAAAAAAATGAAATACCAAATCTTCAACTGATTTTACAGTTAATTGGAGTTGTCAGGGAAAAAAAGAAACATAAATATCCAAAAGGAAGTATAACGATGTATCCACCATATGCAAAGCTTGGTCTGACAAAAGCAAAAATGATTTCCTTCATGTGTCATAGGATCCATGTACTGGATGTATCAGTTATGCTGCAAAAAGGTTTGTTATATTTTCTATAGTTAAGACACTCATATCCATTTATTTTTATATATGCAATGTTCTTCATAATATTCTGGAGTTCCAGCTTCATTCTGATTTCAATACCTGTTTGTTTAACCTTGATTAATGGAATACCAGGGCAGACATGAACATCCATCTCCACACACTATTATTTTACCTCATAACTGTTCTGAGTTCTCGTACTGTCATTGCTTTAAGTCTGGCTGGGTCATCCCTAATAGTCTGAATTTCAACTACTTGATTTCTCGCTGTGTTCTCCTACATGTCAACCAGTTAGTGTCAGAGAAACCATCTCCACTTGAAAAAACCAAAAAACAAAATCATACTATTTTAATGACAATGAAGATAACTATTCAATAACCTTGACAGCACTTTTTTCAGTATTGGAAGAGATACCCATCGATCCCCTCTTCTTGATATCTTTCTTGTTGTTAATGGTGGATGAAAAAGATGCTGACAAATTCAATAGGAAACGTTGAGACTCCACTGCTGTTGCTTTCAAACAAACCAATGCTCCAGGCCTTACATTCCTGGGAGATACTGCAAAACTAGAAGATACTAAACTTAAAACACGATTTCCTATATAGTATATACGCATGAATACCAAATTGAAGCTCCCCACATATCAGAGAATAAGTCAGCTAATTTGAGTAATGAGTCTATAAAAAGGAAAACTTTCGAGCAATTGATTTCAACCAAACTTACATTCCACTATCTATAGTAATTTGTTTACAAAAGAGCAAGCCCCCAGACCATCCAAGTATTCATATCGGTTCTCATGAAACCCTAAAAATTGGTGAAGCTCAGACAAGTAATGGCTTTAGAACCAACAAATCCCCTCC